GAAACGTTCGAAGTACGACAATATGGTTGTTCAAACTCTGATATACGAATAAAATGATTTACAGTAAACGGAATAACCACTAATCATCCAGAGACTGCAATTGGGGTATGGGTATGGACTTCAAATATTCATACTTTATAGTATTCAGATTCTTATTATGACATAATGAAGATGGTTAACAGTAAGAAAACGAACAGGAGAATGTTCCACACTGGCTGTTCTCTTGGAAAGGAGTTCCGGAAGCCAACCGTGTGGGACATGAAAGCAGGCAGGAAAGGAATGACTGGGTTTTGGGGTGACGGGGCAATGCAAGAGGGATAGTTATTTATGAAGCAAGCTCTTGTGAGCCCTGACCGGAAAGACGGTAAACGCTCAATTTCCCTGACCTCGGTACCTATCAGTTGATCCATGTAATTTATTCCAGACTGGGATAATTGCAAATAAGGTGCGATGCGATGGACGACAAAGGGGCATTCGCAACACGTCCTAGTCAGCGACGCCTATTCATCTGGATTCAGTGTGGTACTGATTTTCCCATAAATTCATTCTCCAGTATGCGGCTTACCTAAGTGTTTCCAACTCCTTGGCTTCAAACCGGGTGAACATCGACAGTTAAAGGCCTGCAGTCGGTGAATGTGTTACACGCGCAATCTTTATGGTCTCTTAACCGTAAGACAGAACGACCTACGCAGGTTAGGGAAGCATCGCGTGGGCACTAATAATGTTTCAATCCTACATGCGCCGCTCGAGCCTTCAAATAGTCTGTTGTAAATTTTTTTACTGCACTATCGACCATACTGTCACGGGAGGTGGACACCAATCCTTGCGGCATCACTTTGAAGGTGCAATGCACATAGCAAGCGGAGTAACAACTTGTTGATCCGTCAGGATCATCCTCCATACATTCGCACAAGAAGATCTATTCAGCGTACTCCAAATAACAACCGTTCTCCAGTTTTCCATGCAATACCCTCGTTTTTCAATTACTTGTCATTCTCCAATATTTCGTGTACTATGGAAGTGAGCCGGATCAGTGAAGAATGGCATTCCGGACGGACATCGATAATGGTCTGAACCATTTACTTGGTTCACCGTAGACTTAACCTACAACAAGTAAGAAATGTATAGTAAACTCAATAGGATAACAAACTTCAGTCCTTTCTAAAGAAGTTAACGAATTGGAACTTCACGGGCATTCCAGCTACACACCTTTAGATGAGAGACCACTGTGATCGGAAATCGACGATGTGTGTAGCGCAACGTGAAGATTTGATCAAATCAGTCGCAAACATCTGTCTACCATTCACGAATATTCGTACCTATCAAGGGCGTTAGGCTGCAAAGTACCGCAAAAGCTAAACTTTTAGTGAAGACCGAACTAAACTAATCCCGCATTGTGTGATCCTCACTTGATGATTGAAGAGTAACCCCTCAGATTCGGTGGCCTTTCCTCTGTACTGCGATGGAAGGCAACATGCCACCGCCCATGAAGCTTCAGCGACGACCGCCGGAATGATTGCGTTTACGCCAGTCTGGCTGAAATACCCTGTCTAGCAAGGAAGTTGCTGCGCTTTGTTTTAAATACGACGGTCTCTGGTTTTGTGTATCAAGCGGAGCAGTGACCTTTTGCTGGGGCTACTTCCATCCTTTAGCTACCTTTGACCATCAGTTTCACGATCTTTTCGTGAGTTGACGCTACATGCGCCATCTTTCCCTTTGCTGACCCTGCAAATTGGTATCTTTCGCTTGAGTTTTCGTAGTCCGCGCCCAGCAAACCTGTGACGCGCAGGTACATAACCGAAGTCCAAATCGAGATAACGAAAAGTCCGTGATCTACGTGCATTATTAAAACTACTAATGTACAAGTGAAATACTACGCTTCAACTTGTGCGGCCATCCAGTTCGAAGTATGCGATCCAAGCGCTCAACGTCAAGTTGTGAGGTCACCGAAAGGAATGGGTGCACTAGGATAATAGTACGCCAGAGAAACGGAGCACCAATGACAGTAACTGGGTAGTAGAGGGCAGGTCTCATGGTCCAAAGGGAACAAAGTGTGAGTTTGTCATACGATCAAATTAGATGGTCAAAAAGTTCGGAAGACCCAGATATCACGGTAGTACACGACGTGCCGGTATACAGACCGCCATCAAATGTCCAGGATTTACGTGGATTGCGAAAGGTGAATGACATGGGAAAGTCAAACAGAGACAAATATCCAGACTATATGATAGCTAGGGATTGCGCATAGCATGGGGTGGACAAATAGTTCAAGAATATATACATTTATAAATTTCTTGGGTACAATTATAATCATGCCTGACGAGCGGTAAGAACAGCGAAAATGGTGTTTCCATGGAAATCTTTTTCGAGTTATTCATATACTTTTGCTAAAATATATTCAGTTTGTAAAACACGTTTACGAATGCCTGAGGGCGGCCTAATTATTGGAGGGAAGAGGTCATGTGTAATGCTTAGTAATTCAGCTTGGTTCTTATAACTTGAACAAGGTATCTTTTCGTGCAAAAGAGCGAATAACTCGTTAAAATGTGTCCAGCTCAAACACTATTATCGATATTTGGTTTTTGGAAATGTTTCAAATTACAACGCTTTTATGATTTCGATCCCACCAGTCGTATTCGGCATGTATGTTTGGTCCCAATACCTAGGCTGCCGATTGTTACGGCAATTCAAACAGCCCCTTAACTGAGGTGCACCCTTTTGATAGACTGCACAGCGCTGTGTAGTGGGCCCATTCTTTGAGTCCAAAATTAACTTATTTATACAGTCTAGTGCGCTGAATCATTTTGATGTATCTCCGATAATTTACCGCAAAAACTGCCTCGAAGGAATCACATGTTTTCCTATCAATCACACGTCTTAAGATGTATACCATTATTCTCCGGAAGACAACTTCGGACTGCAGCGAGGTTAAGCTTCTGAACGGGGCCACCTTAGGGAGATGGAGATCCCTGCGTACATGTTCTTTCCATGTATTCACAGACCCAGTCACTAAATAAGGTGGTTTTGATGGTTGTCTTCAAACGAATCTCTTGCTTTAATTCTGCAGAACAGTGATATGGTTAAATTTTCATTTGAAAAACAAAAGTAGAGACGCTCACGTTTTTATCATTTGCTATCGAAATTTGGTCGTCCCCCCGTTGTTACATTGGCGATTTTCACCTGTTCATCCTTCGGAAAGTTTCCTTTACGTTCGGTTGATTGCCCAATAATGGCCACCGTTTCCTTGTAGAGGTAGCAACGATAAACGGTTATAAAAGGTAAATGATCTCGAAAATCTGTAGTACATTATTTTGGTAGGTCAGCTGTAATGTGCTTGTCGTATTCGTGAGCACTAAAATAAGTACGTTGCTGAGGTGGCCACTTTACGATTAAGTGAACTCGTTAACAGTTGAGATCACATACTGCCTTTGAAATACGTGCGTGGTCTTTGGCCAATATTCCGAAAGCACTTTAAATCCTCCAAGGACGAGGTAATTGTTTAGAGATCTTTGTTATCAAAGTACCGTAAAATGAAAGAACGTTGCAGTGTTATCTTTTCCAGTGAAAAATTGATTTATGTATGATTCAACTAATACTTGTTTTTGTATCAGAGGAACGTTTTAATCGTCAGATGGTGGGCTGGATTTATCGGAAAAATTAAATAACTATGGTACAGACGAACAAATCTTGACATCACTCTATCAAATATACCTGTTATATTTCTAAGTTGAAGCTCAAGCACTGATATTACTAACTGTTTGTGTACACGGACATTAGCGGGTTCAAGAAAAACGAAATTTTCGAACTTATTAACATAACGAACCGTTTTTAGGGTAACTACTTTACATCCAGCCCCACGAAAGAGACCATTTTCTGACTTGCTAATCCGACTAGACGATCCAGATAAGGCTTCTCCTAATTTAACGTATGCAAATGCAATCAGCTAAGCATTTCTTTTTGGTATTTTAGCCTCTCATTCAAACCGAAATCTCTACAAACCAGGAATTATTAATCGACCCTTTATTCCAGTCTGAAGATCTTCCAACCCAAACGCTTCCCGAAGCTCAAAGCGGTTGTGGAAGATTAGATGATGTTGAAAAATGTGCCTGCGATGGAGATGAGCCACAGGAATACTTGATTTCAGAATCACTCCAACAAGACGGTTCCCCTCCCATTTTCTGTGACCCTGTTCGTCGGGTGAAACGTAGCGCTTACCGTCGGACACGACCGGTGGGTAAGGTAAGCATCGCTGTCTTGCAACAAGGCTGCGAGATTTTATTGTTCCCTTTCAAACACCAACCGGCGTCCCAGAAAAAAAATGTGGTCAAACGGACCCTGTGGACGATTTCGTCCGCCACTTGAAGTGAAATCGACAGTTTTCAGGTCCAAAGAATGTAACAGTTTTCATGAGATATTTACCCTCTGTCATACATCCTTTTCTAATACTGCTACTGTGTTGCATTAGGTTTTTCATTGCAAACGTTTGAATAAGTTCATTCGTTTTATTTTTAGCCAGTATATAGAAATAATATGTCTCTTCAGCTTCAAAGCAAACGGATAAATTACGCCACAACCCGCTTTCAAGCAGTTTTCCTGTTCGAATTCTAAATTAGCTGATAGAAGTAATCAAAAATAACTCACTTCCATGGGTACAGTATACTATCAAACTCAATCTGTCGTTTTCACCGGACGATGAGACCTGCTATAGGAGAAAACTCATCAAAACCTTCTCAGGACGTTTTTAGTAAAATAAAACCCACTCTGAAACTAAGTCTTAGCTAAGATTTTCAGCTACAAGGTGATGTGATGGAGTGAAAGCACGGTTACGTGTATCTTACGGTTATCGCGGTCGATATTACGCGAACCGTGGTACAGTGGCCACGCTTGTTTGCTGCGTTCATTCAAAAATCGATTAAATGTTAAACTTGAAGGCGCAACATTTTGGCGCTCAGAGAAAATAATCGCAAAATAGAAACCCATTCCGTCAGTTGTAAGAAAGAAATCATTTAAGACTCTGGGAGGAAGAATCTTACGGCTGTCTACAAAGAGAAAAACGTTAATATCAGAATCATCCATAACTGAAGAGCTGAGTAAGATAATTTCAGTCATATGGGCGAACGAAGTACCAAAAGGTGCAATTATGAATCATATCGGTAACCACTATTATCTGAACTCGAAGGCAACATTTATGGATGGATTACTGACACGAGAGCAAATACTTCGATTGTGCACAGCGCCGAAATGCAAACTTCTACCCTTACCATGGCATCATATTCTGATATATCTCCAAGCTAATTTCAAGCATTAAAATAGTGGGTATATGGATTCTCTCAATACTATAACCTGTCTCTAAAAAGATTGATAGCATTGTTTAAGCCGGAATTTACTGAAGTTATTAAACGTACACTTTCAGTTAAGTACATTCCTCATGACTTCGACCTTTCCAAATCCCCCACACTCAAAAGTGATTTTCATGGATCTAATTGAAGTATGGGATTTCAGATATGTTGTTAGTCTGATTTTGAATCCACGAGAGGGTGGATACAATGGAATATTAATCTTTACACTAGTAATAAGTGAAAAAGTGAAACGAAGGCTATACGATCTTCTGTTCTGTGTGAATTTGAAATCTATATTCAGCAAATCGCGAAGTATAACCATAGGGGAAATCTAGTGAAGACTAACGACTACCCGATTGCTTGTGCCTCTCTGGTGCCATGGCGGATGTTATTCTGCCGTTTTACATCTACATTGTGATGCAAGTAGAACAGCGTACGTCAGCTACTTTCCAGCGGAATATCCGAAGTCAAGGTCAAAGTTTTAGAATGGGGATAATTTACAAGCTAATTCTTCTTTCGTCCCATAGGTTCGTGTTGTGGTTAAAATACTGTGTTGAATACTATTCCACATACACCAAAATATACGGTTGTATCCCTTCGCCACAGAACTCGGTTTCCGTACTTCCTGGGATATCAACAACTTCCGTGTGTCTCAGATGAGAAGGATCCCGGTGTCATTGTTGAAGACAACCTAAGTTGTTTTTTAAACTGCTCCAGGGAGTCATCCACCGCTGTAAGGCATGTTGGTTGGCTAAAGCGAGTATTTAGCAAATTTGAGCGTACGCTGTTCCCACTTTTTTATCAGCCTACATTCGGCCCCACATAAAGTATGCAATTCAAGCGTGGAATGCATGGCTGCAACATGATCGTAAAATTCTGGAACGTCCACCAAAATGGTCAAGGGATGGCATTCCAAGACTTATGTTGAAAGACTGGAATCATTGGGGCTGTACTCCGCATAGTATCGCCGAATTCGGGGGGACTTGATTTTTGTGTATCAAATAACGCAGAATCCTGATCACCAATGTCGTTCACTGTTCGCCTTGTCGGTCAACACTCACATGAGAAGTCACTCATTCAAATTAGTGCTCCAAAAATGTCGACCAGAATGCCGGGGTCATTCAGTGTGCAGTATTTGGAATTCTATACCATCTCACGTTGTTTCTGCGCCCACAATTGATTCTTTCAAGCACAAACTGGATAAAACTTTGACAAGTCTTAAATTTCAACATCCGTAGCAGTGCACGAAACAACGGCAATTTGTGACTTTCCTTATCTTTCTATGAACAGTAAACCGATCCATTTGTGCTAAACCGTATGGGACGAGAAAAGCAACTGCTCGTACGTATTTCCCATAATAAAACTGACGTGTAACAATGTCACATGATACTGGCTTCTTCCACTGCTGTACGCAGCTTCACTTATGTTGAAATCTCTGGTATGTTAATGCTTCATCGAGTCTCACTTTGAAAGATTCAACGCTTGGTGCACAGACTACGTGGGATGGGAGAAAGTTCCAGACCGAAAACACTGATTGCGAATGACTGACACCAGCATTCCAATCGGCATTTTGAGAGCAATAGTTTGAACAGATGTCCTCTGGGATGACCGTTGAGTGATAATTTTAGCAGCGGGTGACAGGGATGGCTTGGCTTTTGCATTATTTGGTTTCCCATAATCATGTCTCCGCTGATGCACCGGTAGTGATTGGAATATAACCCAAAGACTCCAGTCTCTCTGTGTATGAATAGCAAATCAAACCCTTAACCAGTTTAGTGGCTATCCTTTGTGGACGCACCAGCATTTTACAATCACGTTGGAGCCATCGATTCCATGCCTGGAAAGCGTACTCTGTGAGTGGGCGAATGTATGCTGATAGCAGACGGCGGAAAAGCGCTAACTCAACCCGGCCAAAGACGCCTCAGCAAATCGACATTCTTTAGAACTGCTTTCGACACCCTGGTGCAGTTGAGTGGGCAGCTTAATTCTTCTTGATTGATGAAGCCCAGGTCCTTCTCATTTGAAGCATGTGTCAGTTGTTCATTTACGAGGAAATACGAAAATGGTCCTTTGTGTCTTAGAGGTAGAGCCTTGCACTTTGGAATATTGAATTCAATATCTTCCACCGGAGACCAGGGATGAGCTGCTTTCAGTGTTTCCTGGAGTACCAGCTAGCCCACTGTTTGCTTCATCGTATTTCAAATTTTGGTGTCATCTGCAAACATTAATGAGTTTGGCAGTGTACATTCCTCGAACCAGTTTCTTCTCGTTTTCTCTGATCCTATCTTATAAAGCTGAGTTTCTTTATATGATCACAGTTACAGAGCAACAGAGTGATGAGTTTTGCCGATCTCGAATTTGTCCCGTCTTGTGCCAATGCTAACCGAAACGAATTCCTGGTTTCAATAGTAGGAATTGTTTGAGCTATTCAAGGGCTGTTTCGATTTCACCTCGTTGTCATGAAGATTCTATGGTGGTGGACTCGTGATTGCCCAAACTTAAATAAGTGAAGGTTACATAGGTACGCCCGAATACATGGCACAAGGGACGGGAATCGGCTGTATACAGATGAAATCTGCATGAATCTGAAAGGAAACAAAACCCCTCGCATGTTCCCATCGCATATTAAACACAATATGTTTCAAACGGAAGCGTTCCATAACAGGCGTAAACGAGTAATGGTCTAGGCGACCTGAAATAACAAGTATTTATTTTGATCCTTCACTTGTTGTCTGTTTCCCTCATCGCCATTTCCTAATATCCAATCCGTATTCACTAACCCATTGTCCTTCTTAGTTTTCAACGTTTCTTCGCTCTTCCTTATTTCTCACACACCTCCCCGTTGGTCAAAAGCTTAAGATGTTAGCCACCCCTACAAGATTTCTGTTGCTAGGTCTCACCCGACTGGCTTTTAAGAAACGTTTTCCACAGAATTGCAAAGTTGCACAACACCCTCACTCCTGCCCCTTTTCGAATTTTAATTTCTCTTTTCACGCACTATTTCCAATAGTCTCCAAAGAAAACTCGTTTGAACATCTTCCCCACTTTGTAATCTCGATGTTTGTATCAGTTAACAGCTTCAGCTGTGTCATCATTTAGCTAGTAACAGTACCCCACAAGTTGCTCCCGTTCCGTGTCTTTTTGTACACTATTTGTCGCCTGTTGAGGCCTCATCGCCTGCACCCGGTCTGTCGTTTAGCGCTAGGGCATTATTTGTCCTTGAAGTAGGTCTACATTGAGTAGAAAGATAGAGCCAGTCGGCTGAGTGAAATGTCAGTCTGGTGGACAACTTAGATAGGTAATCATGTATGCATGAGGTCGTTGCGTTAGTGAGTCAGGGGCCGATTCATTTACGTCAGTGGAGCAGTTCATATGCTTGGTACGTTTGAAGTGCAGTAAAGTTGTGCACTCTAATTAAGCGGTGCGGATAGCAAGTCCGCGGGGACACTCACTGTGGTTTGATTTCGTTGCCATCGTATGAATGCACAGCATCTTTTGCATCATTGTGCATTTAAGTTGTGTACCCCTACTTCGTTTAGCCCAGAAAGGCCAAGTAGTCATTTTAAGGATTTAAATTTTTCATGTCTTTTCCTATGTTGATTTAATTTGTATTTGCTCAAAATGTGGTTTTCTATCGATTAAACAGAATTCGATCTACAGGCACCAATATCGTTTACCCCTCCTCATTGTCAGAGCGAAACGATCAACTTAACCACATTCAAACTTGACCGTTTCCTTGGTTGTCGGGGTTGCTGACTCAAATCTATCGATACATCCGATATGATCAGTGTTACCTGGTACTGTGATCTCAGTGACTGATTGACCTTATCGTTTGATGCTACATCGTGATTCACGAAATGTAGCATATCTCTCGAAATATGTAGTGAGCTCGTTCGACCTAGACCATAATTTTTGTGATGATCTTTAGTGATTGAGCTGTTCAACTTCGTCAGTATCAATCACAATCACAACTAGTACTGCGTTAGCTGTAGTTTGCCGTAAAAAACATTACTGCAACAGCTCCATGGACGTATCTCCCTACAGAGATTTCGGAAAAACCCCTCTGCCTTGTGTAAACCATCTTGCACGTCTGTATCAGACATTTACGCAAAGCCATTCCACGTTGCAATAGCATCTTGAACGGTCGAGAGAATTCGTTATCAGTCGTCCTACTTTTCACTTTTCATTGAGGGAGCTCACACTTGTCTGGTTTCATAAGAAAAAAAGTTTGAAGTTAACGTAGTAGATGTTTTGCTAAAGGATTACAGCGCTTGGTGCACCTGTTGTCAATGGACTATGGTGGTTTGGGCAAATATGCTCGATGTTGCAACCCTGAATGCATGGAATTTTTGCAGACCAATTATGAAGGTGTATACTACGCGAAAACAGTTTATTATAATGCTTCCTCACGAGTTGAGAGAACCGCCTGTTTCTACATCTTTCTACTGTTGCTTCAAAACCGGAAGAAAAGAAAAAGTACCTTGCCCGAAGTTACAATAATCCATCAAACGTGGTCTGCTTTAATTGTAACGGATTTTTTTGTTAAACGTGTCACCCATATTCAGCAGAGAACAAAAATGTGATCTGAATTACAACTTCTGTGGAACATAATGGTCAATGGTAGATGGGTTCATTACATAATGTTACTTTATTTATTCCTTATTCTTTGCCATACGTTGAGTTTTGAATGTGTTGTCAGTTTGTTTTGAATAGTGCCAAACGAATGCGATACTCCATGTTGTATTCACTTCTACCGTCGATACGCGCACTCAATCTTGACCTGATTATCGGATCGGTGATAGTGTAGCATTTACGTAATTTGCGTATTTTAACTGTCAGTATACCGCTATTTACTTTTGGTAAAAGGATTGGTTTATTTTCAACCTTTAGATCACCGCAATCGAGAACGCTTTAATTTTTAATTTTATTAAGCTGTTATATCCAACCCCGTTACTCACCAACTGCGGAGGTCAGATGAGTGGTAGCTGTTTCATTTGATAACTCGAAAAGTTATCCGGATCATTAGATAGTGTTGGATATTGTCATCGAGAAATGAGAACGGTTATTTCGAAAGGTGTCACAATGACTGTTTGACCGTTCTTCTGGGGGGGGGGCTATGAATATTTCGACTTTTCTAGTGTTCAAGTGAAGATGGTAGAATAGTTTGATAAACATTCTAATTTGTGTTAAGGCTTATTTTCCTTGATTGGTTCAACTTGCCGATCGTCTTAGATTTAACTCCTGTTTGATTGTTGAATAATGCTTTCGCTTTTTTGCCATCTCTTTGCTTCTCAGCTATATCCGAATTGGCAGTTGCATGTTGAACGAATAAAGCAAGATAAGTCCGATTGGCATATTCGCTGCACATTCAGTCATAGCAGATTGCAAAGTTGTCAGGCTAATCAGTTGCATACGGCAGAGCAAAAAAATCCGTGCACTTCCCATGAACAATTAGGATTACTGGAAGCATTGAATGCTCGTCGTCAGGCTTATCTGGATTTACCTGTAGAAATACGGTATCCATTCAACTATGTGGCCAATCTGTTTGAAGATGCATCTCCACAGTCCTCTCCATTTCACGAGATGTAAACACTGATCAAACTGTCTCTCACTATTCATAGAACTCTGTTTTTGTTGTTTCTTACGATAGAGAAAGAGAGGAAACTGTGTACGGCTTTTCCAGTTATGTGATTTGTAGACTCTCCTTGTCGGTTTTCATTCGTTCCGTCTCATTGCTGTTGTTGTTATGTTCATCTTAGTCGTTTCTTGTCAAACAATCGTGCACTATCTTTGCCACATTGTGGTTCACATCACTGACTTATCACTTTTGATCACCTATGCACAATTCCTGTAGTTCAACTGAACTTACTGCTCACATACACACTTATATAATCTTTCAATCTCTTTCCTTTGCTACAGAGAGGTGGTTCTCATGTGATTTACGGGGTCGTGTTCAGTTGTAGATTTTTCGAGAACGTTTTTACTTCTGGTACACAGATCTCATGCCATGATGCCTGCCCCCTCCAGAAACTAGTGATTACGGAAACGACCAGCGAGTCGATGGCTATCTATGAGGAAGGCAAACTCGTGCTCACTGAATAAGCTGTAGTGATCACGGGTACGACGGGGATAAAAACGTCACCCGTTTGTTAGGATCAAACATGTGGTCCCGCATGTTGCATTTGAGTCTAGGATTGAAAAATCGAATAAAAAGACCGAACGGTACTGGGTACACCGCGTACAATCTTATTTTAAATGTTTGAAAAGTCCCATAGAACACACTGAGAACATTTTCGTTTTCGATCATTATTTATTAACCGAACAATTAGCATTAAGTGAGTTGATCAATAAATTTACGGAGGTGGGTGTTTTGGATTGTGGTCGACCACCCTTTTCTTTCATCTCTAAAAATGTTTCTATAAGACCAAGCGTCTTAAAAGTCCGCTGCTGAGGAAGCCCTACTCACTACCTTCCCGTGGTCGACGTGTTTTCCCACCGAAATGAGAGGACAAAAAGCCAACATCCGGGGCTATAATCGGGTCGGCGAACCACTAACAATTCACCTGGCGGTGGGGTGGGTGGCTAAAAACTTTTATTCCAAACCAATAGAGAAGAGGCGTACGAAGAAAAACCCTTACCCTCCTGTTTGTAGCACTGGATACGGCTCGATCTTCACCTTGAATCCTTGAGCCATCCAATGAGCCCATGATTCGATCGACTGGACACTGGCTCGCATGGGATTAAGGTTTTCACATACCGCTCTGCTGCCTTGCAGACTGGGATTTGACCAATCGAGGGCTCCGATTGCGAATTCCCCTAATTCGACCTCGTGACACCAGCTCAGTTTCCTATCCACTAATAAATTATACACTTTCTCTGTTATGCAGGTTATTTTACCGTGATTTGTTGGGCTTTCAATCGTAATTCAGACACGCGAAATGTGATGATAATGTAAGTGGCGTGAATACGAATAGTCAGAACGAGCTTGTGCACCATTTTCTTTCACCAGTGTAACCCTATCCCTAGTAATAATCTAAAGTTCATCGTGATCCATGGTTCTATT